CTATATGTGTGTTTTAAGTTTTTTTTTCTATTGTCTCTTATTATATCACTCGCTTTGTGTGTGTGTGTGTGTGTGTGTGTGTGTGTGTGTGTGTGTGTGTGTGTGTGTGTGTGTTTTCTTGCAGCGATTTGAGTAATAACCAGATCAGCACATTGTCCAACCACAGCTTCAGTAACATGTCTGAGCTGCTCACCCTGTGAGTGTCAACGTGATCTATGGCTTCAGATTGTGTCTGTGTGTGTTTTTATGGTTGTGTATGTCTGTAGCTGTGCACTGTGCTTGTGTGAATTTTAACAGTTTAATATTTTGTGCAGTATGTGTATGAAGTTGTTTTTTTTGCCACCACTTTTAGACACTTTTTACTACACTTCTGACCTACAATAACTGTTAACTTAACTATTTAAGTTTTATTTTTATTTTTATTTTTTTACTTTTTTTATTTACCTTGTTATCTTTGTTTCAGTAATTTATTTTGGAAGTTGCAAAATTCACTTATTTTTTTACTTACTGAGTTAGCATGGCCTGACGCTTCTGTGCAAACGTTGTAATATCTTTTGTTTCATCCCAGAATATTAAGCTACAACAGACTGCGGTGTATTCCTGTTAAAGCTTTCGATGGCCTCAAGTCTCTGCGCCTCTTGTGAGTACCTCATTGATGTGTGTGTGTGTGTGTGTGTGTGTCTTTGCTATTAGACTTTGATTTATGTGTTTTGGACTCTCTTGGATGGCTTCATTTCTCTCTTCTCTCTGCAGGTCTCTCCATGGTAATGATATTGCTGTGATCCCAGATGGAGCTTTCAAAGATCTGTCCTCGCTCTCCCACCTGTAAGTACCTCAGAATAAACACACACACACACACACACACACACACACAAGCACTTATGAGTGCACCAAATAGGTTTTGACAGCTGGATGTACTTTGGTTCTTTCTTTTACTCTCACACAAACACACTGAAACACTTTCTCTGTCTGAACTTGGGGTTCTGCAGCCACAGATTGCTTGAGTTCTCGGTCTCCCATGATGACCCTTTTTTTTATAAATCCCATAGATCAATTTCACAAGTGTAATTATGACTGACAGCCGAGTAGAACAAATCTGTAGATTGCCGTACACATGAGATTGTCAACCAACCAATATCATAATGTTTATTGTTTATATAAATAATACATTTATATAAAAAAATACTGTTTATTAAAACCAAATCACATCAAAGTCACATTAGGCGAGTGCCTTTTATTTATTTTATTTAAGTTTTGTTTGATTTAGATTTTTAATGTTTCTTTATGAAGTTTGACATGCTGAATACAAAAAACACATTACGTTTTGTGTATCATTAACAGTGCTCATGAAAACTAAAAGCATATGTTGACACTTATACAAGCTTATCTGTTATTACTCATGCATACTGTAAAAAGGATAATACTGAACTATCAACAACAGTTTAACATAAACAGTTCGCAAAAGCGAGTCGTCCAAAACTTCAGAAGTGCACGTCGGATGATTTTTGCCTGTTATGACTGGAATGATCCAGAAAGCACTAGAATATTACAGAATGTTACAGAAACTAATAGAATGTTCCCGTCCTTGCAAAAGCAAAATATCTTTAAAAAAAAAAAAAAATCAGCAAAATTAGTACAAAAACTTCTCTGTACTAAACCAATGTTTCATAATTAATGATAGAAGTTCTAAGATTTTCCTGAATTTTCCAGAATGCTACGTGAAAATAAATAGTACAATAATAATCAGCACCACAGAATTACAGAAGAACCATCCAAAATTTAAGTCAAACAATGTTGCATTGTGTTATTTTATCATCCACATTTGTGGGGAAGACGTGTGATATGTGTGTGTTTCCTGCAGGGCTCTGGGAGCAAACCCTCTGTACTGTGACTGTCACATGCAGTGGCTCTCTGACTGGGTAAAGAGTGGCTACAAGGAGCCTGGAATTGCACGGTGCACCGGTCCTGGAGAGATGACCGACAAACTGCTGCTGACTACACCCTCTAAAAAATTCACATGCACAGGTAAACCCACCCGTGCACTTTAGACACACTCATCCTGTCACAGAGAGGGCATTAGTACTAACTCTAACACTAGCTTATATGCTCTGATGTTAATATTGTATGTAATGTGTTTGATTGGTACATTTGTAGAGGTGCCGGGGACTTGTGGTTTTCCTGTGCCAGGTAAGGAAGTCAATAAGAGCCCAGTCTGAGCTCTTAAACCCCGGCCCCCTGTATCTGCCACCCAACCTTTCCTCAGGTTTAAAGTGACCTCTTTGACCTGTATTGGTTTGTGATGCCTTACCTGTTCAATCCTATGCGTGTTTGTAAGTCTGTGCTTGTTATATTTCTGTTTGTGCGTATAACATGTTGTGTAATTACTTTGTCCTCTGTATTTTACATAGGTCCGGTGGATGTAAGCATTTTGGCAAAATGTAACCCTTGTTTATCCAACCCCTGCAAGAATGACGGAACTTGCAGTAACCATCCCGTCGATTTTTACAGATGCACCTGTCCATATGGTTTTAAGGTACGTGCACCCTTAAACACAAACAAGAGCATCTCATTAGTGGTCTTGCTAATGTATTAAACTTTGTGTGCACAACCTTTTGTGCTATATTTGTACAAGATGAGATGGTGTGGTTTGTTTGAGGAAAGGGGTGCTAATACTTTTTAAGATAGCAGACTTTTCACATGACAGGCAGTAAAATGGCAAATACATTAAGTACCATAAACCAAATCCAAATTTGCACAGAAGTTTCATCTTGCTCTTTGGATGATTATCTCTTTCTCCACCATTGATGGAAGTTTCCGTCTATCTGTGTTTTCACTGTTATACAGTAGGAGGCGCTATTACACATCTTCTGATTGAATACTGAATGTCTGGATCAAAACAAAGCAAAGAAGAAGCAGAAACAAGTGGTTGCGTATGCAAGCAGATGCATATGTAAAATAACGCGATCATCAATAATTAAACAGCATGTAAATCAAAACTGCCTAACGCTACTGAATGTAATGTCGACTCAAGAAGTGTTTTAGGACTGTGAAGCTTTGGAAGTGATTGACTCCATCTGTGTTTTGATCATCGGTCTGAATCTGATCCAGACATACACTCTTAAAAATAAAGGTGCTTCAAAAGGTTCTTCAAGCGATGCCATAGAAGAACCATTTTTGGTTCCACAAAGAACCATTCAGTCAAAGGTTCTTTAAAGAACCATCTCTTTCTTGCGTTTTTATAATCTGAAGAACCTTCTTTCGCCACAAAGAACCTTTTGTCAAACAGAAAGGTTCTTCAGATGTTGAAGGTTCTTTATGGAACCATCTAGACAAAAAGTTTCTTCTATGGCATCGTGAAGCACCTTTATTTTTAAGAGTGTAGTCTTTGACAAAAATGCCATTTTCTCAGCTTTTTGTTCAAAATGTTGTTTTTTTATGAAACTGACCCACTGTTGATAAAAAGAAGAAGGCATGAAGCTAGAATAAAACATTTTGTGTGTGTGTGTTTAAAAGCAGAGGCTCTGTTATTTTGACATATTTGCATGTTCAGATATGAATGAAAATTCTGTGAAAATTATAAAAAATGCTGGCGGCAACTGGCAACTTTGAGCACACTGGCACGGAGAGCGTTCACACGTTTACTCATTTGTATAGAGTAACATTTGTACGTGAGGATATGCAAGTGTGAAAGACTGATGCGTCAATGTGGATTTGTAATGCAACCTGTGTGTTCATTTAGGGCCAAGACTGCGAGGAACCGATTCATGCGTGCATCAGTAACCCTTGTCAGAATGGAGGCACCTGTCATCTGAAAGATGGAGAGGAGAACACTCACTGGTGAGACAGACCTTGATCATCGTCATCAGCGAAATGGCGTGTATATGAGACTAATCAAGAGCTCCTTTATTGTATTCAGGCCATGTTGAATGTGGCTTTCATTTAGTAAATCATGTAAATGCTCAGATGTGTGTGTGTGTCCCTGTTGCTCCGGTAATGAATATACTTTATGGACAGAGTGTGTCTAATCTGTCTTAATCAGACTGAAGTGTCTGAAACTGATCTGAGCTCACTCATGCACTTAATCAGCCAATCAAGGGAGATGGTGAATAAGAAGAGTTTCATTTGAGAACCTCTGCTTTACATGTTGATTATGTACTGTAATGTAATACACCAGACACGCACAACGCATAAAATAAGTTCTTCTGCCCCAGTTTAATGTGCAGAGACAACTGTAAGTAAGTCATTCATAGGGCAATTTCCCAAAGAGTGAAAACACTACAGCTCTTTTAATATATTCAGTCAACTTGGGGTTCAAACATTTGTGAATTTGGAACCTGATAATGTACTGATAAACGTATTAACATAAATCATAAATGTAACTCACTATTACTAAATTTGAATTCAAACCAGCTTAATTGAATGCTGCACTGTGTAGGGTATAAATCAATCTTCACTCACGCATACACACATAAAACACTTGCATGAACTTATGTAAGTAGTCGTACATATGTGTATAGCACTGAATGCTCAAATAAACACTTATGTAATACTTACACATACCAATATGAAATGCAAACTGATACATCTAATGTATGCACTGTGTAGGGTATAAATCAATCTTCACTCACGCATACACACATAAAACACTTGCATGAACTTATGTAAGTAGTCGTACATATGTGTATAGCACTGAATGCTCAAATAAACACTTATGTAATACTTACACATACCAATATGAAATGCAAACTGATACATCTAATGTTATTCACACATACATACATTACTGTTCAAAAGTTTGGGGTCGGGATGATTTTTTAATGTTTTTGAAAGATGTCTGTTATGCTCACTAAGGCTACATTTATGTGATAAAAAATACAGTAAAAACTGTAATATTGTGAAATATTATTATAATTTAAAATAACCATTTTCTGTTTTAATATACGTTAAAATGTAATTTATTTCTGTGATGCAAAGCTGAATTTTCAGTATCTTCAGTGCCACATGATCCTTCAGAAATCATTCTAATATACTGATTTGCTGCTCATCAAGTTGATTAGTTTTTCGATTAGTTTAATGCATGCTTGAATAAGAGTAACTAATTATACTGACCCCAAAACTGAAAAAAAAGATGATTTGATAATTTCTAAGCACCTATACTTACCCTTTTGTGATGAAATAGTAAAAAAAAAAATTGAAGCAGGGACCCAAACATATGTAGACAGACTGTGAGAGACATGTAGTTACAAATCAATTTTAGACAATTATAGAATAGCAACACTGCGTTGAATTCAACGTTACAAAAGAATTAAGAAGTCGTATTTGTGTATGTTCAGGTGTGTGTGTCCAGATGGATTTGAGGGCGACGAATGTGAGATAAATATCGATGACTGTGAAGATAATGACTGTGAGAATAACTCTACGTGTGTGGATGGGATCAACAACTACACCTGTCTCTGCTCACCTGAATACACAGGTAACCCACACAAACACAAGGACAGTCCTGCGCGCAATGCTCTGTGTTCTCTGTGCTCTGTGTTTGACGCTAACATGCTAATGTGCTGCTTGAGCTAACATGTCAAATGCATCCTCTGTATTTCTTTGTCTTTCTCTCGCTACTGGTTTCTCTTTTTCTACTAGCTGCTAATAATAATGAGGTGGAGAAAGGTTAGACTCTTTCACTTCATCCTCCCATTGTCTGTCTCTTTCCTTGGCTGTTTCTGGCTAGTGCGTCCTCGGTGCTTGCTAACGTATGAAACACACACACACACACACACACACACACATGTCTGGTCAGCTATCCTTGTGGGGACTCTCCATAGGCATAATGGTTTTTATTCTGTACAAACTGTATATTCTATTGCCCTACACCAACCCTACCCCTAAACCTACCCCTCACAGGAGACTTTCTGCATTTTTACTTTCTCAAAAAAACTCATTCTGAATGATTTATAAGCTTTTGTACCCGTGGGGACCTCAATTTAGGTCCTGCAAACTGATACATCTAATGTTATTCACACATACATACATTACTGTTCAAAAGTTTGGGGTCGGGATGATTTTTTAATGTTTTTGAAAGATGTCTGTTATGCTCACTAAGGCTACATTTATGTGATAAAAAATACAGTAAAAACGGTAATATTGTGAAATATTATTAGAATTTAAAATAACCATTTTCTGTTTTAATATACGTTAAAATGTAATTTATTTCTGTGATGCAAAGCTGAATTTTCAGTATCTTCAGTGCCACATGATCCTTCAGAAATCATTGTAATATACTGATTTGCTGCTCATCAAGTTGATTAGTTTTTCGATTAGTTTAATGCATGCTTGAATAAGAGTAACTAATTATACTGACCCCAAAACTGAAAAAAAAGATGATTTGATAATTTCTAAGCACCTATACTTACCCTTTTGTGATGAAATAGTAAAAAAAAAAATTGAAGCAGGGACCCAAACATATGTAGACAGACTGTGAGAGACATGTAGTTACAAATCAATTTTAGACAATTATAGAATAGCAACACTGCGTTGAATTCAACGTTACAAAAGAATTAAGAAGTCGTATTTGTGTATGTTCAGGTGTGTGTGTCCAGATGGATTTGAGGGCGACGAATGTGAGATAAATATCGATGACTGTGAAGATAATGACTGTGAGAATAACTCTACGTGTGTGGATGGGATCAACAACTACACCTGTCTCTGCTCACCTGAATACACAGGTAACCCACACAAACACAAGGACAGTCCTGCGCGCAATGCTCTGTGTTCTCTGTGCTCTGTGTTTGACGCTAACATGCTAATGTGCTGCTTGAGCTAACATGTCAAATGCATCCTCTGTATTTCTTTGTCTTTCTCTCGCTACTGGTTTCTCTTTTTCTACTAGCTGCTAATAATAATGAGGTGGAGAAAGGTTAGACTCTTTCACTTCATCCTCCCATTGTCTGTCTCTTTCCTTGGCTGTTTCTGGCTAGTGCGTCCTCGGTGCTTGCTAACGTATGAAACACACACACACACACACACACACACACATAACATGAGTCTGTGTGTATTCAGGTTTAAGTCCCCACCAGGATATATAAACCTGTACACACACACACACACACACACACGCTCACTGATGTTTCGCTGGCTGGTACTCTGTCAATAGAGCTGTATTGTATTGTTGTTCTTCAGAGTATTGGTATTTTGTCATCTTCCCCACTGTAAGATGATTAATCAGAGACTATCCTACACACGATGCGACTCTTGTTTTCTGTGATTATCCCTACACCTCCCACTCTTTCTGTCTGTTTATAATGTGTATGTGTGTGTGTGTGTGTGTGCAGGGGAGCTGTGTTACTGTAAACTGGATTTCTGCGCTTCAGAGCTAAACCTGTGTCAGCATGACTCGAAATGTATTCTAACCGCGAAGGGATTCATGTAAGTCATTAAGATCCCCACTGCCTGTATTATAGATTTAGCCTCAAACTATAAATCCACTTTCTTTACTTTCTTCGCCTTCTTTACAGTTTGGCAAGAACTGTCTGATTTTCTGTCTAATAAATACAGTTGCACAGGTTTTTATTCATCCGTCTGGAAACAACACTGTGTTTGAAAGTTACTAAACTGCTTTTGTCACTATATCTGCAAAGTTTGTAGAATGAAATCGTTTTTTTATTTATTTTTTATTCAAAGCCTTATAGAAAATAATTAAGATTAAAAAAGAAAGACTAACCACAAGTTGAACTACATAAATATTTAGAAATTATATATATACTGCCACTCAAGTTTGGGATCAGTAATATTTTTTATGTTTTTAAAAGAAGTCTCTTCTGCTCATCAAGGCTGCATTTATTTGATCAAAAATACAGAAAAAACAGTAATATTGTGAAATATTATTGCTATTTAAAATAATAATTTTAATATACTTAAAAATAAAATGTATTGCTGTGATGCACAGCTGTATTTTCAGCATCATTCCTCCAGTCTTCAGTGTCACATGATCTTCAGAAATCAGTATAATATGCTGGTTTATTATCAATGTTGGAAACAGTTATTTCTGCTTAATATTTTGTTTTTGAAACTGTGATACTTTTTCAGCATTCTTGGATGAATAAAAAGTTAAAAAAGAATATTTATTCAAAATAGAAATGTTTTCTAACAATATACAGTATTCAGTATTTCAGTATTTTTGAATACTGTTTAAAAGTTTGGAGGGTTTTTTTCTTTCTTTTTTTGAAAGAAATTAATACTTTTATTGTTAAAAAAGTGATTGTAAAAACTTATATTGTTAGAAACGATTTTTACACACACACATATATACATACTGTACATATATACAGTACACACATATATATATATATATATTGTATGCAAAACTACTATTTTACAGTATTTTTTTAATCAAATAAATGCAAAGCCAAATAAAAACCTGGTTCAGCATAAGAGACTTACTTCAAAAACAAAACAAAAATATTACTGATTCCAAACTTTTGAATGGTACTGTATTTGTATAATTTGTATATTATGGCTCGTGAAAATATCTCAGCAACTTCTCTGACTCCAGTGCATTAGTACTTTACAAACTAATATATGAACATGTCTTTAAACGGGACATTCTTCCACCCTTCTGCAGTCACTCAAGTCTGTTGGATCCAAACCCTGTTTGGATTCAGTTTCATCTCTTCACCCCCCCCCCCCCCCCCCCATCTAAACTTTAATTTCATTCCTCTCTCCACCACACCAGAACAATCACTGTGTTAGAAACCATCAGGTGTGTGTGTGTGTGTGTGTGTGTGTGTGTGTGTGTGTGTTTCTCTGCTTATGTGTGTCTCTGTGCTTATGTGTGTGCGC